AGGTTAAGTGGGTGGGGCAACCGGAAGTAATTACTGAGGCCAGTGGCATTTTTGCGGTTTAATAAAGGCAGAAGCTAATTATTCAGTTTTTATTTAAGTGAAATAGTGCCAAAAAAGGAGGTTCCTGCAGAGCAGCTGCACTCCTTCAGTGTTACCCTAATTTACCAAAGACACAACTGTCACAAACAAAACTTTTAAACTTGATATATAGCCACAAAAGTAAGGAGGCTTTTGTTTAGAGTGCATGCAGAAGAACCCCTTTATACAAATCAACCGGCAGATGACGGACAATGATGAAAATTTGATTCTTTGAAGTCATAATAGTCATTGAAATGTGTGAAATTCTGGTATTGAAAAGAGAGCGGCCAGCAAGACTCTAAATCCTGGGTGGTTGCAAGAAGCTTGCTGGGAGGTTTTTCTGCATTTTGACACCAACTTCCCATTGCTTGTTCCCTGCTTCCTTTGTTAAAAAAAAAAAAAGTTGAATTCACACAAGATAAATGGAGACAGTTGATAACCGAATAATGCAGTTTTTATATGGAAAACTAATATTTTATAATGGAAATTGATATTTGAAAGAATAAAGTTCACATACATACGCTGGCATATACCTTCTTAGTGATTTTTAAAATTCTTTCTCTAGTGACTTCAACAGTGGAAGATCAGCTATCAGTTCTTTAGAAATTTCAAATAGGGAAGAGATTGAGAGTATGATATGTATATTTTCAGTAGAATTTTGATTAGAATGTCTAAACTGTGAGCTATGACTGATTTATTACTATTTCATAAAATAGTATATTGTACATAAAATTGTATTTTTGAAACTTCAATCCTTAAAGTAATGACATTCTTTCTGCATTTTTAAAATTTTGTTGGTACATTTTAGATATACATAGTGATCACGTTCATCATGGGGAGTTTGTACCTCTACATGATTAATCTTGCTTCTTTTTTTTCCCATTCCCCTCCCCTCCCTTAAGCCTTTTCCCCCTCCTTATCTACAAAAGCTTTGTTTCCATTTTTTTCTTTTTTTCTTGTCCCTTTCTTCCTTTTCCCCTTCCCCATTCCTTGTTCTCCTTCTCATTTGACCGTTTACTTCCCATTTTTCATTATCTATTACACATTGGTCCTTATTTACACCTTTGGTTTCTCACACTAACGAAACAATGTGATATATAATTACATTCTTTAATCATAGAAATAAAAATTTATGCTTGATCCAACTGTTTAAAAACTGAGAGTTTTAAAATTCAGTAAATCTATGTGTGTTATATAGAATATCTTTATTAGAATTTACACATAATTATTAACTAGTGAGTCTTGAGGTCCTTCATGTGCCAACTTGAAGGCTTCTTATACTTTATGTGATTTAACTTTTTTCATCCAAAAATTTATGAATATTACAAGCCATTTAATTATTTACCAATAAAATGAGAGATCCATAAAAGGCAATATTGACATCTTCAACATGTTTCTTTTATAAATGGGTTTTTAGAAAAATTGTAGATAATCCATATTATAATACAGAAGTAGAAGTTGTAGCCATATCACTAAACCAGTATAGTTTAAATAATTAGATATTTTATTTATTTACTTGTTGTTTGTGAAAATGGAGCCACAGGTAGGTCAAGGAGAACTTGGAAAGCAAACCATTGAAGACATGGGATCGACATAGTGCCTCATAATTCCTTTCAAGTGTTACCTTGTTTTAATGGAATCTTTGGGGAGGGAGCTTTAGCCCATTGAAATGTCTCTTCGAAAACAGGTTCTTCTGTCACTAGCTGAAGCTGTGTGGATGAAATGATAACAATAGAGTTTCCTGGTGCATTTTAAAAGTGTGAGACAAATCAGTTTGTGTAGACTGAGAGTGCATCTACAGGGACTAGGAATTTTAGAGCCTCTGCCCTAAGTGTATGAGAGATGCCAGCCAAGCCTCTTTATTCTCTGTCTTAGGCAGCAGCTGAACTGGGCTGCAGTACCTTCTATTTCTTCTGGAGGCAAAAGCAGAGATTCTGTCAGCACAACTTAGGCTTGAAAAATCAGAAACTCAGCCAACTTTAAATTGGGAGAAGATATCAATAAATAATTGTCATAATTTGAGAAGACATGAAAGATGGGTAGTTAATTCAAAATATGAAGAGCTGATAATCAACATTTGATAGCCACTTTTTAAAAAAAAATTTTCTATTTTCTATCCTAAAATTCATTTTGTCCCTTTCTACTTTATATATAATAAAAATCTATAATCTCATTTCCCTGAAGTAACTAGTGCTAAGAATTTAATATTTGCTTTTTCATCATTCTTTTTCTTTCTTTTTTTTTTATACTAGAAATCGAACTCAGGACCTTGTACTTGCCAGGCAGGTGCCTGTGGCGCTGAGCTGTATCCCTGGCCTCAATGTTTGCTTTTCATATAGTTATTTATTTTTAATTTTTTAATTAAAAATTTCTTAATTTTTTTTATTCCAGTACCACTGCCATAATTTGTAGGGCAATATATCTGATGTAATGAAAATAAAAAGACAAAGCTACAACAGATAAAAGATCTCAGGAATGTACATCTAAATGACACTGCATTGCATTAATCAATAGCTGCACTTTTTGCGAACTGTGGCTATGACAGTCCTGAACCAGAAGTTTATTTAAGCAGCAGTAACTATTTAAGCAGCAGTAACTTTTCTGACTATGGATCATCGTTCCTTCTGTGGGAGATTTTTATAGTTTCCTCTAATGCATTTGGAACAGCTGTCTCAAAGTAACCCGCAGCTTTCCTGGCAACTCCTCACTCTCTCTTCTGCTAAGAACTATAGCCTTTAGCTGTTGTTTTTTAAAAACTTCTGCTACCATATCCATCACTTCCACCACTAGATCCATAACCACCACCACAGGGACTGCCAGACAATGGGTCCTTCCCTTTTATAGATGCATAATTTGATTGCTGTTGTCCATTGTAATTTCCAAAATCATTACAGGTCCCACTACCCCCATAATTACTACCACCAAAATTTCCTCCTTCACCATCATATCCTCCACCACATCTACCACCTTGGTTTCCATATCCTGGTCCACTACCACCATAGCCTTCTCTACTACTATCACCAGGACCACCACCATAGTTTCCACCATCACCTCCTCCATAACTACCTCTGCTGCCACCTCCTCCACCACTTTAGCTTCCTCTTAAGCAAAGTATCTGTCATGCCCCAAATTCCCTCCACCATCTCCAAAGTTTCCTCTGTGGCCTCTTTATGATCCAGAAGACTACATTTCATATTTAGGAAGGGGCTTTTTCACTTCACAGTTATGCCCATTAATAGGTATTTCAGGACAGTTTTATCAACTGTATCATGATCATCAAAGGTTACAAAAGTAAATCCTCTTTTTCTCCACTCTGCGTGTCCTCCATAACCCCGACGGTTTCAATCTTGCCATATTTTTCAAAGTCTCTCAAATTACATTCTTCTTTAATACTGCCAACAAAAATTTTCTTCACTGTTAGATGGGCACCAGGCTTTACTGGATCCTTTCTAGAAACAGTTACCTTTGGTTCCACTACAGCCCATCAGCTTTGTGTGGTTGAGCACACATTGCTTTGTCCATCTCTTCAACACAAGAGTAAGTCACAAAACCAAAAACTATTATCTATAGTTTCAAAGCTCAAACTACCAGTAAGTCCCTTTCTCACCTGTCCTGGTTCCTTTGGATCATGGCCCTCCTCCCCCTGGAGTTGGGCTAGGATGATCAACCTAGAGGTTTTACCTCTATTTTGAGGTCAGACTCACCTCTTCCAACTCAAGTTCAGTATCTCATATAGTTAATTCAAAGAAGTCAAGTAATACATAGTTTCAGTTGTTAGGAATTTAGCTTAGAATGGAGGACTTGTGGCTATATAATGTTTATTTGGTTATACCTTATTTCAATGGTAGCTGAGGAAATAAGACATATTAATCTAATAATATATAATATGAAATAAACTAATGTGGTAGATTGCAAATACAGTGAAGTAGTACAAATATAGCTCTACCACTGTACTATATTCCTAAGCTCCAATGATTTTTAAATGCTTTATTATAAATAGGACATGATTGTTGTTAATATGACTTTACTTTGAAAGAAAATATTTTGCCTTTACTCCCTGAGGATGTAAGCTCTGTGAAGTACTTCATTATTTTACATTTTGACTGCCCTGTGTTTTCATAAATATATTTCATCTGAAGCATCAAAATTCTGTGCATTCCCTGGTTGAGCATTTGTTATTGGATAAGAGTATAGAAAAAGAGATATAAAACTGTTATTTTTATTTCAAATTTTGCAAAAATTACTCAGAATTTTTGTCTTTACAAGTAGATTTGCTCTGTCCCTTGAGTGGGTTTTGCCAGAAGGATATAAAATGCTAATTAGTTATTTTAACTGTTTACAGAAGGGCTTGGTCCTCCCTCTGAAGACAGTGCCCTTTAATAAGCAATAAAACTTACCTTACAGAAATGACTGCCAATAGATTTTTTTCTATTTGAAATGTATTTACTTTTTATATCCACTTATTTATATCCCCGTATACCCTTTTTCATCTGCTCATAGAATAAGAGACTATTGACTACTAGTTCTATCAGCACTCTGTTCGGAAATTATACTGTTGGGCTGTGGGTGTAGCTTAGTGGTAGAACACTTACTAGTTAAGTGTAAGTCCTTGGGTTTGTTCCCTAGCACAGAAAAGGAGAGGGAGAAGGGAAATTGCTAAAGTTTTGTTGTGTAAAGCGGCTGCAAAATTTTTATGACCCCTTTCCCATTGTTTCCTAATACTGTGTTTCAAATATACAACTTACGATACTGACATACATTTTATATAGTAAAATATCAGAGAAGTAATGAAATAAGCCAGAAACTTCAGCCCAGTTCATAAATAAACCTGGACAGAATTGCATGAATATAGGGAACAACAGAAACATGTTTGCAGAGATTTGGACTATTTGGAACATCTTTATTTGCTTGTTTTTCTGTAGGATATCACTACATTAACTGGTGTTCCAGAAGAGCATATCAAAACTAGAAAAGTTAGGATCTTTGTTCCTGCTCGCAACAACATGCAGTCTGGAGTGAACAACACCAAGAAATGGAAAATGGAGTTTGATACCAGGGAGCGATGGGAAAACCCTTTGATGGGTTGGGCATCAACGTGAGTACTTTGGTTTAACATGAATATTGTTTTCACCTTTCTTTTTCAGGTAGATCTTTCTTCAAAATATATGCTTTTCAAACTCCTATGTAGAAAATGTACTTATGAAAATACTTTTTGGTGCTGTTAGGGATCACTGTAACCAAAGATAGGTAGTTTTTCATATATATTTTATATACATATTCATGTGACTGTGGCTCAGCACGGTAAACTACAGAAATACTATTCTAAGTACTATTTATTGGGTAAAATGTTGAACATTATAAGCATTGTTAATGTGACATTCAATCTGTGTATATTCATCAAAGATACTGTGAAAGGTATTAATAATTTGTTTTTAAATTAATGTAAGATTTCTTTATATGTTGTTTGTAGGAGGGCAGGAACTGAGTTCAGAAATTAGAAGTTTCTGAAACCTTGTGATAAGTTTATGGTGCATTGAAATAAATTCTGGCGGAATGTCTTTTCTCAGATTAGTATACTTGGAAGAATTTTCTTGAAAATATCTGCCATATTACAATTTAAATAGAAATATATTTCTCTAGGTAAATGATAGAGACATAGTTTTTAGGTGTTGAGCTATCTTTTCAGTTTTATGTTTTTTGAAGTATAAAGAGTTCTTTTGTAAATCATATGCTTTTAGAAGCTAAAGAAAATTACAAGAAAAACTTTGTATCCAGTGATGGAAATATTATGATCATTCTTTGAGTCACATGACATGTTAATTCATTTATATCTAGGACTCATTCTTTGAGTCACATGACATGTTAATGTATTCATTTATATCTAGGACTCATTATAATCATTTCCAGTAACATTCAGTAATAAATGAGTAGTTGTACCTTATATACTGTAAATTGTTTCTGAGTAAAATACTTTAAGAGCATAAAGTTGAATGTTAGAGTAGAAAATACCATCTTTTCCTCACATCCAACACAAAGTTTGTGGCTGAGGTACTTATAACAAGATTATTAAAAAGAGAACAGCATGCAGAATCATTTAATGTAAGTTCTGCATGACACGGGAGCCTTCAAACAAAAACCCAAAGAAACATGGAAACTGTATTTTTATGCTTAGGTGTGGTGAAGATTAGACAACTGTGTAGAAGTATTGTTGGACAAAAGGGTATAATCTAATAGTAAACTGGGGAACTTAGCCAGACCTATTTGTTTGTGTCCCAGTATCTTCAGAGATAAAACATTTTCCTCTAGGCATAGAATGGGCCTCTTGGGACAAGGATCTAACCACCTATTTCAGAGGGTCAGAGAGTCTGTTATACTACTGCAGGAGAAAAGAGCAAGCCAGAGAAACTTTCCTCCTCCTCTTTTCACAACTACCAAGATGCCATAATTTGGGTACCAGGTTCTGAACCCTATCAGTAAGTTATTTAAATAAATTTCATATTGCTATGCTTACCTAAATATTCACATAGTCATTGCTTGTAGAAATAGCACAATTAAGTTTGGAAATACTAATTTTTTAATACCCTACTACTTTAAGAGCAAAACTAAACATATTTATACTATTGTGCAAGAACATAGAAATACAATTTTTGTTACATATGGATTGAAATATCCAATGGAAATAAATATCCACTTTTGAGAGCGAAAGTTTTTTTCAAAATGTAGTTTTCCCAAAGTAAAAAGTATCTTTCAAATTACAGAATCTCTCTAGTGTTGATTTGTGTAAAGCACTGTTTTGAATAGTATTTTAAAAAAACTTACTCTTTGTTTTGATATTAAACATGAAAATAATCTAATAAAAATTTAAATATTTAATATTTGATTACTTTATTTGATTGAAAAAACTTTGCTATATTCACTGATATGTGACATGTCCTGAAGGTTGTATTTTATTTTTTCATCTTTTGCATTCTCTGTGTGTGTTCTATGAGAGACTGAACTTAGGGCAGTGATGGCAAACCTTTTAGAGCTTTCACGAAACAGCCAGCCAGCTGTGGCGCAGGTCCCATAAGTTCACCACCACTGACTCAGGGCCTTGTGCCTGCTAGGCCAGAGCTCTAGCACTGAGCTGCTTCCCCAGCCCATCTTTAGCATTTGAGTGATACAGAAAAACAGTATATAATAATATTGCATGACCATATTAAATCCTGACTTCTATTTGTGACATTTTAAAGCTTTTCACAAAATTGCTGGAATTGGAAGCTGAAGTTTTCTTTTTATCTAAATTTCATCATTTCAGAAATCTCCATTTTAGATACTGTATATAAATGGCTTGATCATAGTTTTCAGTTTGCTTACATTCATTTTATCATTATATGTGTATTAATATGTACAATAGGAAGAAAAAGTTTTGAAAACTGGTATTTAGGTCCGTATATATTTGTAATCTTTCTTGTTAATGGGAAGTACTTTATTTAATGGAAAAATAGAATGTTAATATTTTAATATGGTTTTTGCTATTAGTCAAAGAAGTGATTCTTGGATTGCTAAACGAGTAACAACTTCATTCTCTACCTAAAGTATATTTGTTTCCAAAGACACAGGCTTCCTAATGTAGGGAATCTGAGGCTTAAGTATGTTCATTTCTTCTTATACCATAATTTACCTCTAGCTACATGGATAGAATGGTATGGAGGATTTAACAGACACCTATTCTGATGATGTAGAAGTATTACAGGAGGAAGTATATAATATTAGAAACATGACAGATACAACACTTAGAGATGCCTTTGGAATTTTTTTCAATAGGTTTACTATTAATATATAGATAGAAAAGGAGACATTCCCTTGAGCAGTAGAGGCAGTGCTAATAGAAAAAATAATTTTACAAGGTTATTGTGCTAATTTTGTGACAGAAGGTAGAAGTCAAATGTTTTCCTGCGGGAAATGTTTTTCAGTGGGAGCAAAAGAGAGGTGTTACTGTGAAAATAGTCATCATGACAAATGAACATAATTTTATTTTTTAAAATACAATGAATAAATTTCATTAATTTTGAAAGTCTGTGTTTGTTCATGGAGGATTTTAAGATAAATATGCTTGATCTTTGTTTTCAGTTTAAATTCATATATTTCAATACTGTATTTACATTTCTTTTCTCATCTGAAGTGGAAGTTTTTTTGTGTTTTAATTACCTGAATGGTTATATGTTAGAACTCAAAGGTAAAAGATTTAAACATGAAAAATATCATAGCATGTGAAATCATCCCTCGAGTTTGACCCAAGGTTTTTTCTGTTTAAATCTTCTTCATCTGCTGGGTTGGGGCAGGTGATTCATCCTCATTTAATAGTGTAGCTGGTTGCCAGTTATTAATCTCGTATATTACTTGACACTCTTCTATCTGTTAGGTAGATAAATTCTTTTCATCTATTTCTACAAGCAGGACTTCAATTTTTTTTTAAATAAAATCCTGTATATAAGCTGTTTGTTTTTCTTCAGTTATATTCATGTAAATTGACCATTGAAATTGAAATAGCTGTTAGACTCAAAACTTTGTTGCTTTCATCATATTCTAAATATATAGGGCCAAGGATACAGTTCAGCAGTGCAGCACCTGCCTGGTAAGCATGAGGTCATGAGTTCCTTTCCCAGTGCCTAATTAATTAATAATGAATAAATAAATAAATAAAGTATTTAATTTTAAAAGTAATTGTTCATTAGAGAATTATGATTCTGTCATTCAGCTCCTAGAAAGAAGGATTTGTTTCATATCATGGACATAGAAGGTCATTTAATTTAAGCAGTGGTGTACACTATTTCAGATATTACTCACTGTCCTATTGCCTAACTATTCACATAGTGTACTGATCCTCAAGCCATAATAAGTCATCAAGGTGGATATGATACTTGGACTTATCCTTCAGCCTGTAATTTGCAAATGCAAGTATTGTCTGTGCCATCTTTCTCCCCTGTATTGCTCTACCTCAGTGCAAAGGCACTTCAAAAATTTGTTTAATCACATGGTTCAATTTTTAAATCCTTCACTAAGAAAGGATTCTGTCTACTTTTCTTTGTATGTACTGTTAAAGCAAGTAAATGAGTGTGTTTGTTCGGTGTATATAAATAATATAGATACATATAGTGTAAGCCATGAAAGTTACCAGTTTCTCCTCTTCCTACCCTCTAAAGTTCTTTCGTGTCCACCTCTGTAGATGTGAATCCTGTCAACAGTGCATTTACATGCACGTTTGACTTTATATGTCTTTTGGTAAAATACGATGATTTTCTTAAAGTTCTTAAGTTTTCACATTTCTTATTAAAATTATTTCTAGGTATTTTAGTTTTTATTTCTATTTTAGATGAGATTTTTTGATACATTTTAGAATTGAGAACACCCAATATTTGGTTTTGTATATAGCCACCCTCCGTACTGTGTCATTAGTTTTTATGGCTTTCCAAGAAACTCATTTTACCTAATTAGTTGTTTGATCTAAAACTTGTGGCAGGTTTTCTTCTTAAACTTAAACTTATACCTAATTTCTTTTTCTTGCCTTATTGCTTTGACTAGAATATGCAGTTTTGATGGCTAGTGATTATATTTGACATCCTTTTTGCCTCTTTCCTTTAGTGGAAGTATTTTTTACTTTAAAAAAATGGAAAAAAAAATTTCTAATTTTGACTTAACAATTTTTTTAAAAATCAGAGCCATCCAAGGTGTGCACACAACAGTAATCCTAACATTCTGGGAAGCTGAGGCAGGAGGATTGCAAGTTCAAGCCCACACTGGGCAATTTACTGAGTGAAACCCTGTCTCAGAATCAAACTTTCTTTTTTTTTTTTTAAAGGACTGGGTATGTAGCTCAGTGCAAAAGGCCCTGTGTACAATTTCTAGTACCACCAAAAAATAAAACAGGTTAGTTGGGCACAGTGGCCCACAGTACCTATATTCCAAGGCACTAAGGAGGCTCAGGAGAGGATCACTTGAGACCAGTCTGAGCAGCACAGCGAGACTGCTGTCGCAAAAAAGAAAAAAAAAAATCAGGAATGGCTATTGAATTATATTAAATGTTTTCCTCACATCTATGGAAGGGCAAGTAGCTTGAATAATGGTGGCTTACTGATACAAGTTGCTGTTATCAGCCCATTTCCATCTGCTTGAACTGTAGTGGTTTAGAGCCACCTGGCAATAAGACATAAGAATTATGGTCCAATCATGAATGTGTTAGTTTTTTGTTTTTTGTTTTTTTCATAAATAACATGAACATAATAAAGTCTATATTACTATACCACCTTTGCAGGAAATAGAGTTCTGTTCTAGTTCCTGAGGTTTTTTTCCTACATTTTCTTTTACTATATTTTTCTTATTTTCAACTATGTCATTGTGCCTATCAACACCCATAAATTATTTAATCATATTTATGTTTTTCTTTTGTTCTAGTATAAATTATTTCATCATATTTATGTTTTTCTTTTGTTCTCAGTATAAATTATTTCATCATATTTATGTTTTTCTTTTGTTCTCAGTATAACTAGTTTATTTAACAATCAACTGAGAAATTATTATCTGCTTAATCCTAGCACTCTGGGAGACTGAGGCAGGGGAATCACAATTCCTGTGATCGCAGGAATTCCTGATCACAGTTCCAGTTTGGGACTTGGTGAGACCCTGTCTCAAAGTAAAAATAAAGGGCTAGGATATAGTTCAAGTGCAAAAGTCCTTCAGTCCCCAGAACTTGGAAAAACAAGAAAAAAAGGAAAAGCACCAATATAAATTTATCACTTGTTATCAATATTCATATAGCCAGCCATTTGAAGTTCTTTTGTTTAGGAGGAAGGTTTGTGATAGGAATTCATAAGATCATTGGGATCACATAGGAATCCTGCAGTAGCAGCCATAGTATATGACCAGGACTTAGCAGCAGTTTAGGGTCTTCTATTCTGTTTTCTTCTGTTTATATCTTTTCACTACCCAAATTACTTCTGTAATCTTCTTTTACATCCAGATTTCTATATGAATTTCTATAGAATTCTGTCTGCACCTGTAAGAAATTTTACAGTACACCTTTGTAGCAAGCAGTGTTCTGCTTTCTTGTAGAAATGACACCTCTGAAATTATATGATATTTTGTAAAAAGGCTTTGTGGATTTTTGAGCAGTAATTCTGTTCTAAATTGAAGAACTTGGTTAGATATCAAATCTTGGTACTTTATTTTTTGAAGTGGGCTTATGTTAAATGATGGAAAGTTTGTTAAGAAGAGTGGATGCTGTTGCTATTTTTTGTTGGGTGATGGTACTAGAGAAGCTGTTCAACTTACAATAGGATATGTTCCAATAAACTCACTGTAAAATGGAAATACCATAAATCAAAAATAGTTTAGTACATTTTACTGTCATAGTTCAGCAGTATAATATACTGGAAAGTTACCAATTGCTTGTTTACCATGGTGTTCTAGGTGGGTAGCTGGGAATTCCAGTTTACTGCTTTTACTCAGTATTGTAAATAGATTAGGGCCAGGGATGTAGTTGAGTGGTATAGCACCTGCCTGGCAAGCACAAGGCCCTGGGTTTGAGTCTCAGAACCAAAATGAAGAAAAGAAGAAGAAGGAGATCGTAGCACATATTGCTAGCCCAGGGAAAAATCACAGTTTAAAATTTGAAGTACGGTAGAATATGTATCACTTTGGCATGTTGGAAAATCAAAAAATCCTGAGTTAAACCATCATAAGCTAGGAACCATCTGTACTAGCACTTGTATATATCAGTAATCTTCTTGATATTAAATCTGTAAGATCAGTCTGAGAATATCCTTGGGTTTTTAAATAACTCAAATTTTTTCTTGTTTTTGAATAAAATGATTTTATTGAAGACTAGATGAATGTCTTAGCAATTATAATTACATTGTTTGACAGTATATGTTAGAAAATATCCCAGATTTAACCCAGAAAAAATAATACAAAAGATAATCTCTCTAAAATGTAATTATAGTTACAGTTTATTTTCTAAACATTTATGTTAAATTTTTTTTTTCACCAAAGCTGAATATTAAATCTTGGGAAAAAAATTCTTTCTTACAGGGCTGATCCCTTATCCAACATGGTTCTAACCTTCAGTACCAAAGAAGATGCAGTTGCCTTTGCAGAAAAAAATGGTATGTTTTTTTCTTATGTATAAAATCAAGATACGGTTTTAAGCTCTTTAACTTTAATTAAAGCCGTTTAGGAATTTAGAATGTGAATTCAAAGAAAGCTTCCAGTGAATCTAAATCAGTGGTCTTTATATTTTTACTGCATTAGAATACCCTTTCAAAAAAAAATCTAAAATACAGTGCCCAATGTTACATGTAAAAGTCAAAATACTCTAATTTGAAGGTGCAGGGAATAAGAACGGTTGTCTAACACCTATCTTGTTCCAATCACTAAAATTTAGTTATCTTATATCCTAGTTGAATTTCTCATAAGGTGCGCTATTTCAGTTTGGATGTCTCTGTTATCTAACTTTGAACCAGAATTTGATATCTACTCCTCCATCTAATCTCTCTTTAATTACTTAAAAATGGTTATTAATCATATTCACTCTTAGTTTTCTTTAAGCTAAAATATTTACATTTTCTACCTTTGTAGATATGGTAGGCCTAACACCAATTATAATCTCAACTGTGCGATTACATTAATGCAGGCTAAGAATATAGGAGCTCTGGGGACATGCGTGTTACACTGTTGATTTATGTTGATCTTGCTATCAGCAAAAATGCAAAATGTCTTTTTTCCCCCCCTTCTTTTTCTGCTGTTAAGCCCACACAGAGCAGTGAAAAGAGGCATGGAGTAAGACCAGTCTGCATTCTTATTCTTATTATACTACTTTAAAGTTGTATGATTTTGAATGAATTTTATAGTAGATTTATGTTTCTTCATCTTTGAAATAGGATTTAACTCATGAGGTGGGAATATATGTACCTGCTACGTGGACACTTGTTAATAACGAGTTCTGACTGTCACTTCCCTCCACCTGGTATTTCTGATCTTTATTTCTTCCTGAAGGTCCAGATGCACTTCTGTAACATTTAAACCTGATGCACTCTGTTTAACATGTTAGAAAACCTGCAAAATTCAGCATTGAAAAAGATAGGTTCTAGTTGGTCAGATTGAACTTGACTCTAATTTAGTTATCTGTTTGAATGAGATCATCTAAGTAGATTTGTTACCACAATGCATTATATTGATGTGTAAACCCTTATTGGACTTACCTAACTCATCTGACATATCGGTGTGAAAACATTATAAATGTTATTACTACCTAAACTACTTCCTTTTCTTCCTCACTTTGTAACATACAGCTTACAATTAAAGCAGGGCTTACTGTAGTACAGTGGCAGAACTCATGCTTAGCATGCATAAAGCCCAAATTGTGATCCTCGGGACTATACCCCTCACCGCCAAAAAACAAGTCTAAAACAGATCTGCCTGGATTTGAATCCATGTTGGGTGATTGATTTTGTACTTCTGTTTCCTCACATATAAAATAGAAATTCTTGTGAGGATTAAATGAGTTATTAAAAGCCAATGCTAACCAGGTGTGGTGGCTCATGCCTGTAATCCCAGCACTTGGGAGGCTGAGGTAGGAGGATCGCTGAAGTTCAAAGCTAGCCTGGGCTACATAGCAAGACCCTGTCTCAAAAACACCAAAATACATACATACATACGTACAATAAAATAAAGCCAAGTGTTTAAAATGGGGTCTGACACTTAGTAACTGTATAATAGTATGTCAGGTATATCCAATTATGTTGTTAGTAGTAGACTTCAAAAACTTTTTTAAAAAAATACCAATGTAATTCCATATTAACCTTTATTGGCAAGTTCTAATTGCTTAATTACATAAATATTTTCAAAATGGTCTGTCTTTTAAGTTATTATTCTGATTTAAAACAACATTGTCAAAATATTTTAATTTAGAATATTTTAACTAAACTGTAATATAGTTATCAAAACAGTTCTATTAATGTTCTCTATCCTTTCTTCTTGCCATATTTCATGTCTGACACCTTGAAAAATTACTGATTGATGGTCTATACATGAGTTTAATAACAGGAAATCTAATTAAAGCCCTGGTTAATCTCTAGGTGGTCACAAGGACTGCATGACTACAGTTGTCATGTGAATTAATAGATATGAACCAGCCACTGCTGCTGTTCAAATCATTTGCCTTTCTGGTCTTAATTTTTATGTTCCTAGGAAAGAAAATTGAGTAAATTATCTAAGTCATTAGAAAATATAATTTGAAAACTATGGGCTAACAGGATCAGGATTTTTGATCTATGATACAGAAATAATTATGCCTGTCTTGATCACTGCTTTGTCCCCAGCATCTGGCACAGAATTTAATCTATAATGAACGTTCAATATCTGGTGAAATTAAAGATGTTCCAAGAACATATTTCTTAAGAATTTGTGGCCACTCTCACCTCCTGGAAAATTTTCATTATTCCACCATTCAGTTCACTGTGATACTTGTGATCTATCTGGTTTACTTCACATTTATCATTATGTATCTTTAAATAGCTAAGCCCTGCTTCTTCAGCTACAGTGAAACCAAAACCTAAGTAAACAGTATTGGAGTTCTACAAAATCATAAGATGGAGGATCTTTACCAAATTCCCCAGCAAGCAGTTCCACTTAGATTCATTCCTGTTGGTCAACAGTTGGAGAGGGCTATAAAAATGGATCTTCCCTCCACACCTAACATGTTGTTGTGAGATAGTGCAGTTGAAGGTTCTGATAGTTTGAGGCATTAATAAAAGAAGGTTCCAAAACCCTATTATGTAAAAACTCCTGGGTTAAGAGGTTGGTGCCTGGGCTGGGGATGTAGTGCTTAGCTGGCATGTGCAAGACGCTGGGTTTAGTCTTCAGTTCCAACACGCATACACACAACTGGAACTAGGTTTCTAACTCCACAGTTACCTTTCAAGGACAGCTTGAAAAAATCATGCTTCACTACACATAGCCTTTGATAAATATGTTTGTTCATCTTTGAAATGAGAGGTCGGTAGTTTGGGTAATACTCAAAACTATGTACTTCAAAGATGTTAAGTCCATGGACTACTTTATGTGTCTGTCACTGTCCATTCCAGTAACCTACTTATATGCTTTAAAGGGGAAGGTGTTTTTTCTTGATACTGGTGATTCTGTGTTCATACTCAAATTAGTATAAAAGTTATGCATTTATGAACATTAAATGCCTACTTTTTAATATCACTAGAATTAGTAAAACTACCATATAAAGAAAACAAGATAATTTATATGCTCAGGGAGTATTCTGAAAATAAACAACATACCTTCTTAGTTTTCTCATTTCCCACATGTCTAAATGTTAGAAAAAAGTCATAATCATCATTTCCTGTAGTATGAAAGATCGTATTGGAGAGACTCAGTATAATGAAGAATAAGATTGTCAGATTTAGTTACTTTTTAGAAAATATACTGGTGTCCTCCACTTAGATTTTGAGGCTCAGGTAGCAAACATCATCATTGCAAGAGCTAGCATTCGTAGACACTAAGTAATAATCCTCATAACAACTCTGTGAAGCATGAAGTGTTATTATCTTCATTTTATAGTTCAAGGAAACTGAAATTTAGAGACATTAAGGACCGAAGTCACATACTTATTACTGAGCAAGATATGTTTGAAAACAGTCATGTTCATTCATTTATGTATTGTCTGTGATGGTTTTTCCATGACAGTGGTAAAATTGAGTCGTTTAATAGAGACCATATGGCCCCCAAAGCCTGAAAATAATTACTGGTTGGCCCTTTACAAAAAAAGGTTTGCTAACCTCTGGTTGTCTAAGCCATTAACATAGGGCTTGAAATTCTAACATTTTAATACATTCAAAAGTACCCTGTGCTGTATTCAAGAATGTATGCTTAATATTCCTTAATTGATAAAGATCTTCACAATATAAACATTAATTTGTCACCAAAGCACTAACTTACCTATGCTAATATATGGCCCAACTACCCTTTCTGGCATTCTCACTCATACTACTCTTTCTTAACTTTATCCCTACCTGTGAATTTCAGCTTTGTCTTTAAAATGAACTTTATATGCAATATCCTTTCCTAATACTTGATTTGGTGTAGTGCAGGAAATTGAACCCAGGGCCTTGCACATGCTAGGCAAATGCTATATCACTTAGCTGCATCCCTAGGTCCTTTCTTATTCCGCCCTCTCTATCTCTCCCCCTTACTAGATGAGCTCTCTAATGTCCACAATAAAGCATAGAACCTCATGCTCAAACTGTACTATTTTATCTTACCTACCAAATTACAAGCACCTGCCTTAGGAAAATACTAAGTCTCATTTGCCTTTAATCTGCTCAATAAATATTGATGAATATAAACAGTAAATTTAGTGATCTTGTATACTATTTTCCAAATTATTTTAAACTTTTCTAAAGATCACTTTAATTGCTGCTTCTGTTTCTTAGTGGATCTTTTAATCTCCTCTAGAAATCTGAAGAAAGAAAACTATTAGTAGAATGATTAACAAATTCTTTCATAAGGGAAAAGAATTTTCATTTTGCCCCTGAAGATTTGATAGGAGTCTATAAAATAAACTGACAAAAAAATACAAGACTAAAGAAGGGCCAGTGTCAAATGGGATCTCTTATTTTTAGTTTGAGAAGTCTCCATACTGATTGATGATTTCCATAACGGGTTATACTACTCTACATTCCCACCAATAATGTAGAGGGTTCCTTTTCCCCCATAGCCTCTCCTGCATTTGTTATTTGATTTGTTATTGATGATAGCCAATTTTTGTGGAGTAAAATGGAGTCTCAGTATTTTAATTTGTATTTCTCTAATGACTAGAGATGTTAAACTTTTTAATGTATGTATATATTAGCCATTTGTATTTCTTCTGAGAAGTGTCAATTCATTTCAGTTGCATATATTTTGATTGCGTCTTTTATTTTGGGAGCTCTATTTTAAATTCTTTACACATTCTAGATATTAGTCTTCTGCTCAAAGAATAGCTGGCAGATTTTTTTTCTCATTCTGTAGGTTGTCTCTTCACTCTGTTGTTTCCTTAGCTAAAAGAGTTAAAGATACCATATTACAGTGATAGATGCATATCCGTGGTTCTAGTGGC